TAAACTTTTACATATTTTATATTTGACTGTAGATAACTGGTAAATGGTGTTAGTTGAAATCAAGGGGATGTGTTTTACTTTGTTCAAGACCAGTGATATATTCTGTCAGGGTAGATAGTTGATTTGCGATATGGTTTTTATAGACATGACCCGATGAAGTACAATTTTTCATATAACTTATGATCTGGTTAAGTAGAGCATGGTCTTAATGATTTTCAACCCTTTTCGTTATTTACCTCTGTTCTATTTATGAACTGTTTGATATCTTTTAAAGTCACCAGTGTCCTAGTAGTACAGTGTTAAACCACAGTATAAAATTCTAAAATTAAATGTATGGCACTTTTATTTAATGTTGTTTATTAATTTAAAAACACAAAGAGAAGAAAAAATAAGGGGATGTGCAGGAGGTAGACATTCCTAAGTTAGATATAAGATATGAATAGCCCTTATGTTGGACCTTGTTATCTATGAATTTCAAATTTCAAGATGTCTGTTAAGAAAGAGCCATGTTTAACCCATATCAGTTGTTAATGTTGTCATGACTACATGCATACAATATGGAATCCTAACTTACATTGCTGATAGCACTTTAACATGAAAAAAATAGATAATATAGTAAGTGTGCTCAGCATGTAATTGGACCATGTTGGAATGAGTTTTAAGATTTTATGTGCTGAAGATTCGGTGCAAGAGAATTAAATCAGAAGTTCTTAAATTCTTTTTCTTTATTTACACTTTTTTAAAAAATTAATTTAATATTTTATTTCTAGAAACAGTTAAAACCAAAAAGCTTTCTTTTTCGCTAAAAAGTGCCACTGTAGCAGGACACATGGTCTTGTGAATAGGGCCCCCATTATGTTACCCTCGTATTAGATTAGCAATTTGCATGCTCACTGTGCTCTGTGTGATAATGACATATGGATAGGTAGTTCATAGCCAGGAAAGCTACCTACGTGTACTCTAGTTGCCATTCAGGAAGCTAGCCATATGGAAGCTTGATAGAAGCTTTTTAAGAAAAAGTTGTTGCTTAATTAGAAATAGATTAAAAGATGGAGGAAGAACAGATACCTCAAGAGCCTGATAGTGTAACAGTGGAACAGATAGGGAGTGGATACAGTACATGGTTATTTGTTCTTTTGATTTTGATCCCTGGTTCAGTAATAGGTAGGCATATTTTTTACCTTTGCTGTTGGCCTCCAAGTAGGCATGGTTATCTTAGCTTATCTTAGGGCATTGCCTATCAGTTGTCCAAATGGTGGTTAAAATGGAATATACATGATAGTCAGTCATCTTCATTCTGCTGTACATAGGAGTGCAATTGCTTTATCACAACATTCATAGAATTTATAATTATGTGTAGTAACAATACAGCAAATCTCTTTAAATATCTGGATAATGGTTTCAGATAATGTTCCTTTAAGACCATTATCTGATTTTAATTAAAATTAAGTAAAGGTTTTAAGGTATTATTGTGTGCTTACTGTTGCAGATTGCCCTTTTGAAGTCTTTTTGATATAAACTTTACAAAACCTGAGAGATACCCTATTATGATTTGTTCTATTTCCATATTGAATATTGTTTTGTCTGGATGTGTTTCGAATACTTTAGTTTTATAAATTGCTATATATGCTTTTGATCAAATTTTGTCTCTTTGATGAATGTGTACAGTCAACTAAATAAAGAACAAGTGTTCTTGATTATACAAATGAAGAATTGGCATTTTTAATTATGTAAATGAAGAATAAATGTTTTTAATCATGCATTGAAATGAAATGAATATTACTTTTAGAACAGTTTTAGTAGAAAGAGTAGGTAAATAACCTGCTTACTTTAAATATTTTGAACCATAGTCTGGTTATCTAGATGTATGTAAAAATTTTTGAAATAATTTTTTGAAATTAAATGAAAATATAAGACATTGAACTTAAACATCTTTTATGTACCGAAAACTGATTATGTGAGTAACTGTATTTTTATTGTTTTATTTTAGGGTTTTTCTCTTACAAGCTTGTGAAGAGCTTACGAGATAAAGAGAGACAGAAGGATGAGAAGAAGAAATTAAAACAACAAAGAAAAGAAAAAGAACTATCAAAGAAGCAGAAGAAGAAATAGATCTGAAAAACAAAATATTAAAAGAATGACTATTTTATTAAATTATTTTCACTGTGCTGTATTGGACAGGCCAATTTTAGACAAAGTTTTAGGAAAGGATAATGGAATTAGTTGACACAGGACAAACTTATCTGTGAAAGGTGATTCTAGTGTACTGAACTTCTTCAACATTTCGGCTGCCAAACAAAGAAATCCAAAACCCACACTGGAAATGTTCTTTAGGACAATGCGGGCACCATGCAATATTTTGCCATATATCTTGATAAGTATGCTTCGTATGCTTACTACTATTACTTAGTTACCCAAAAACAAGCTGAACTTTGATGTTCAAGATTTCCACTTCATTGAAGTAACAGAACCCTTGCTGTATCTTGGATTAATTCAAGAGGGAAAAGTCAGAAGAAACATGCCGAAGAGATAACAATCAGAAATGCTGCCTTATGACCAGATCTGTACGTTCTACACCTCTCACGTAGAAACAGATTCTAAATAAATCCTAGGATTATTGGTTTTGTCCACTCCTATGGTACATACCTATTTTGAAAGCAACGTTTACAATAAATAACATGCAAGAATTCAGTGAATACCTCCACAGACACCAAAGTGGAAGCATAACAGATAAATTCCTGCTGAACATAAACTGATAAGCAAGTGTGTTTCTATTGACTTTATTTAGTGTATTTCAAATGAATTAGATATTTTTTATTGAAAAAATAATATCATTCCAGTGTCATTGCTATGTTAATGGTCACATGATGTGCTTTTGAGTATGTGATGCTTAATTGTTAATTACTATGATGTGAGCCTTTTCTAACAGTTGTAAGTGGTAGGGAAATTTTTTGAAAGTAAATTTTGACCATTCATTAACTTATTTTCAGGTTTATATCACATAATACACAGATTTTATTCAATGGGCTTTTAATTTCAGTATTAGTGATGGATAGAGATAGAATGCAATTTTACCGAAACAGTAGTTAGATGGGATAAGGGTGTGAAAAACATTCAGTTGCTTTGTTAGTTGAAATCATGTCTCAACATTATACAAATTAAATTTATAAATATATATATTTCTGTGACAAATGTAGTGATAAATGCACAAAGAATTGGACATTTTATCAAATCTTTAATTCAATAATTTTGTTTATAAAAATATAGTAACAAGAGCCCAGTACAAGATTCAGCAGGTCAAGAAAAAAGGTGTTAGTGATATTTATCTTCTGAAATTTAAAAATTTGCTTCACAAATTTTTTCGATTGAGTTGTGTGAAAATTTTAAACATGCATATTAATCTTCACCATTCTGGATTTTCTTGCTTTGAAGACAAATGTTACAATGGAACATGCAATTTTCTTTAGATTTGTGGGGAAATTATAAACAGGTGAAGAAAATAACTCATTTGTGACAAAAATTAACATGTTAGGCTAAATAAATTTAGAATGACAGTAATGAATTAAAGAATGACTTTATCCACCAGATAGCTTGTTTTAAGAAACTTGCTTAGATTACAGAATTTATAACATAAGTGCTTCCTGCATTTCTACCAAGACACAAGTGTATTTCAAGGGATCAGTAATGTACTTAGAGAATTATTTTATATTGAGTGTCAGTAAATAAAATATAAATTATTTCATCTATAAGACCATGTATTTTTCTTCTCTCAGTCCATGCAAACCTCAAAAAGAAAGTTTACCTGTGTATGGTATGACCCAATGGCCTTATGGTCAGTGTCTGCCTCCAAAGCAGGAGTAGATGGGTTCCACCCTGTTCAGAGACATACCAGTGAGTCTTTCATAAAACTGTACCTGTTGTTTCTTGGTTTGGCACTACTCACTTTGGGGTTGAAGCAGGGGTAAAGAGAAAGATTCATTGGCTAGATTTCAGCACCTCGTATAGCAGCTAGGACACATGGACAGGATCAGAACCAAAACTGTCCAGGTGTCCAAAGTAAACCGTGCTGAGATGCATGTGCAGTGCAGTGTATTAGAACGTAACTTCCACTTTTATGTATGACTGTACAAACATGACTGATGACCATCTGAAAGACATTCACTGATTGAAAATGAAACCAACTCTTGAAAACATCATTTTCATTATTAGTTTATTATTACAAGATCCAACTATTAACATTTTTGTTCTTTTTTAACTGTAAACCACAAAAAATCCACTTCTAATACTATGAATTCCAAGTGGTTGGTGTCATCTTTCAATTTGTTGTGAGAAATAAACCATTATGCATAAAATGTCTAAATTAAAATATCACCCCATTTCCATAGATTTTTAGATCGATCTATCCCTGTGGGGAGTCTCACTAGATTACTGTCAGCTTGGCCGGCTTAAGCGTCTGTCCCGCCTACTAAAAGCTGTAAGGGGGTAATTAACTATGGTGCCCGCTGGGCTGACTGCAATTTAGCGTGAACCCCCAGGGAGTTAGGTCGATCTAAATCTTAATCTTTAGATCGATCTAAATCTCTGGGAAAGCACCCTAAGACTTAAAAGTTAACAGATTTCTAAAAATAGACTGCATGCAGTTGGTTTCAAAAATTATTGAAAGCTACAGAGGCAAATTTTGCAGCAACAAGAGATCATCTGAGAGCATAAAACCAGTTTGTCAGCAAGAAAGAAATACAAAAGTGACACACGAAATATTGCATACTGTTGTGCAATAGACTTATTGTACGACACTTCAAAGAAAACAACTAGAAAAATATCTGTGGTTAAACTGTTTTTCTTCCCAGTTGCATACGGCTAGTCTGCCATTATTTCCTACCCTACTATCCTCAAAATCTGACTAGATCAGAGCCAGGGGTTTCATGGTAAAAGCAGGGATGTCTTTTTTCTTTCTTTTTTTTTTTTTTTTTGGGGGGTGGGGGGGTGGGGGGGTGAAAATTGATGATGTTGTATACTTTTCCCAGAAAACTTGAAAAACGAAGTGCTTGAAGGGCTTGAGCCAGTGCTAAACTGGGCTGTCTCGGATGATCCCGATTGATCATTTTTTTTTCATATTGGTAAAATAAGATTTAAAATTATCTACATAATACGCCTTTACAATATCTTGATTGAAAAGAAAGGCAAAGTTGACACTGAGCATTAAGGTTAACATATCAAAAACATGATTGAAAGATGAATTATTTATGTATTTTTGTGCTTAAAATTTGCCACCTTAACCTTTAAAAGACTCATTTATACACTTTTCACCAAATGAAAAGAAGACTATTTTGAAAGCAGACTAGACATACTGACATAATGATAGTTTATCTCATGACAGGAGGTTCGAAACAATACGATGATTGCAGTAACATTTGCTTACAACAGATCTTCAATGGCATGTATTTTATATTGCTTCAATGTGTTCCATACTTCCATGTATACACTCTTGTTTGTTCAAATACTGGTAAGCATACATTTATCATAAAGGAATTACAAGTACATTTATCGTAATGATGGAAGCACAAGCCATCGGATAAATCAGTTACAAGACAACTCATACTGTAATTAATACAAACATCAATCTCTAAACTTTAAATGCAAGTTGCTTTATCCAAACTTCATTGAGGTTGTTAAATGCCTCAAATTAATATCATGGAATGGATTCACGCATGTTTTGATTACCAATAAACCATAATTCAATGATACTGTGTAGATCTTTTACAATGTCCATAACATACGAAAAATAGGCATCTAATAATATTGAAAATGTGTTGCATTGTGCTAAGTTTGTCACTTTTTAAAATCCACAAAAAGGTGGCAATACACTTGAAAGTAAAAACTTAGACAAATAAAACATTTTATTTTTCAGTGAAATCAAACTTCTTTCAGCTATTATTGTAAAACAACATAAAAGTAGGAATAGTTTGAATAGTATAATTCTTAACAATGATCCTTCTTTTGTAGACAATAAAAGGAAATAAAAACTTACATTCACAATTAAATCTATAAACATATTGCATATGCTAGTAATTTATAGAGCAAACTGTACCTGTTGAATTTATTATTTTATTTTTTTATTATTATTTTATTTATTTATTTATTTTTTTTTTTTTGTAGGAATCATATCAGATGCATTTCCATTCAATTAAATCCATACTTACAGAATATTTGCAACCTTAACTAAGGTCACCATTGCATTGCATGGCTTTGCCTGTAAATTCATGTAGATTTCATATGTATACAGAATAATCCCATAGTTTCTAAAGGAATCACAAATAATTTCATAGATAACAGGAACTTTCTCATTAATACTGCTCAAAGTGCACAAAGGCATAACAAAAATCTAATGCTTTGTAAATCTTGGTTTTTTCAATCAGAAGAGTCTTAAAAGCTACAAACAGAAAAAGGAATACACAAACAAGCTATGAGGCAGAATGTGGTCAATTCAGCCTGAGGTATGTTTAGGAGACTAGGAATGGTTCATACTGTTGTGAATTTCACTGGTCAGTAACAATGGAACACTCAAACTAAAAGGCAAAATTTGGTAAATTCAGTCTGAAGTCTGTTTAAGAGACTACAGGACTGTAGGAATGGTTGAGAAATATGTATAACTCTGAGAGTGGAACTTATTTAGCAACTAACTGACGTTGGTCTCAACCTACTGAGACATTTCACTATATAAATGCCTTGGATGGACTGGTCACATGATCTGTCATACAGCTAACGTGGCATCAATAAAGCTATTTGGGCACGGATGGAAAATCCAACATTTAAGAAGAAAGGAGGCCTCAGGTTTAAGCTCTCGCACATATGGGATGGGGCAGTGGAAACTATTCCTAGCCTATGGCAATAGATCAGGTGACCAGTCCATCCACGTCTCATGTAGATACCGCAACATTGGCCAGATGCTAAATGCAAGTCCAAGTATCAGAGTTACACATATTTCTCCTTCTTATTTTAGTGGATGACTAATAACATTCACTCACTAGGAATGGTTCATACCACTGCCTATTTGAATGGTCAGTAACAATGCGCACTCAAAATTTTGCAAGAATTAATCTCATATCACAGCTGGTTTTTATCTTTTTAAGTGTTGTTCACTGTATAACATTTCATAATTATTAATATTATTTTGATGCCACTAAAACTTGGTGACTTGAACACATATATACTGCTTTTTTCATTATGCTATGTTGCAATACTGTGTAGGCAAGAAAATCATAATTATACGTTACAGTCGGGTTTAAATAAAATTTGAATAAAAATATCACTTAGTTTAATTCTGTCCTCTTGAAAAAAAAAATTAGATATGCTCCTCAATCAGCTTCCCCATATCAGCCAGCGCCTCAAAGAGAATACCTGTGAACCTTTTAGCATCTGTCTTTGGGCAAGATTTCTTTGCAGAAATGTGGAAAAACATCTTCGATTCTGCTGGTATCATGTAGGACACACCATAGCCTTCATCTGACACAGGACCAAAGCCACCCCCTGGGGACAACTGAATAAAAAAGATTATACTATAATTAAGAAATGTGACTGCTATATATAACTACGTAGTACAATGAATGCTATTCATAACTTACAGGTAAATTGAGATAAATACAGATAAATCAACTAAGTAGCCACATGTTTAATTTTTTTTTTAAATCCTGTGCAATGACATTCTAATATATATATATATATATACATCAAAAGCATACAACATAGCTGTTTAACGTTGAATAAAAAAAAATTCTTTAGGTTACCATGGAGAGATAAGGCTCATGGTTGGCATCTGGGGAGGTGGCTATTTGCTGTTGGGGCTGCTGACTAGTAGATAAGGTCCAAGGTTCTGTGAGAACACTCTTCAAAAATTCACTTTCCTACAAAGTTGTTAATTTAGACCCTGAGTATACACAAAACAAGACCAAGCCTTTTATTAATTGTAATTTGAATTATAATATTACTATAGACCAGAGATTAATTGAGCTAATTTCACTGCTTTATCAACAGTCTTCTTTTAAAACTCAAATATCTTAAATAGTTGAGAGAAATATAGTACAGGTGACCAATACATAATAGTAGAACTGTTTATACAAATGTAAAATAGCCCAATGTTAATGATTTTTACACCTGAAGGACACAAAGCAGTCATGAAATGTCCATGAGTACTTACATATCCCAACCCTTTACACAGCACATACAGGGCAAACAGGTGCCTGTCACACCCCTTGCCATTCATAGCATCTCTATACATCTGCTGGTGTCTGTCACAAGCTACTCTCAACAGAGATATCTTTTCCTCATTAGTCACGTTATTCTGGGACATGGCTCTAGAAGATTCAAAGTAAATGTTAAGAAAAGAGCGTTTAACTCCAAGAAGAGGTTTTTAAATTTTTTATAATATATGTCATATGGCATCCAGGTTGACAAACTTCAAATTCAATAAAATTGTCTTTTAAAATTTCAGGCTTGGGTAACTTGGGTCTAAAAACTACAAAAATAAACTCAATCATCACTTTATTGCAAATATCTTAAAAGTCTGTTACATCAGTCAGTGCCAAAAACAAAGCTACGCGGCACATGGAGACAGCAGGTTCTAAAAATGTACTGGCCCAGAGCAGAAACAGTGGCCAGTAAGCAAACAAATTAACAAAATTTCACTTGCCAAGCTTCAATATTCCTGGAATTTGCCATGTGAGCCAGTTCTAACATCACAGCATGCTACATTACAGCAACATCCCAGGTTGAGCACTTCAGCATTATCTTTCAGTGTAAATTTCTCGAAAAGAGTAATCAAATCTCTCTAGCCCAGACAGCAACTATGCCATAATTTCTTAAAGTACTTACTTGACAAAGGCCACAGTCTCTTTAGTCAGGGACCTAACGGTCTCAGTCCTGCCTTCAAGATAAAGCCTGGTCATAGAAGACTCATAGGTCAGTGCACACTGACCATTGCTGTCCCTATAGTAGGCAAGCTGAATGGCCAGCTGTACAAAGGCATCTGGACTGACCTAGAATACAACAATGATATTATATATTAGATATATATTAGATATTATATTATACTATATAAACTGTGCATCAATATTATTGCTCTCTAGTAATATTATGAATATGAATATGCTTACAACCATTTTTAAAAACAACAATCTGATTTAGCTCCTCTCACATTGTTTTAAATATCAATTAACTGATGCATTTTGGACTGGAATAACTAAAAGCAGAAAAAGTTGAACAGATGTCATTAAACAATC